GAAGCCCAATAAAGACACCCTGTAGGGAAAAAAATCAAAATGACCAAGAAAAAATATATTTAAACTTGTTTTAAAATAGTTACCCTGATTCAAAAGAAAACAAATTTAATTCGTAAAATTCCTATGAATGATAAATAGTTTTGTAAATATGCATTAGATGTGAGGACAGTGCCATAATTTTAATTGTGGCACCATTGGATTGGGATAGACAGATATTCCAACTTACACGTGGCTACAACATGTTGATAGTGAACTTAATTGTCATCTTGCCCCATCCAAAGCTCGTACCTAGGCAAAGCTAATAATTCCATTGTCTTCGACCCAAGTTATATTAATTCTCATAATTCTTTAATTTATATTTCCCATATTAAATATATTTTACCTTTTAAAAACTAAAAATGTATACTTATAATAAAATCCACACCTATAATTATTATGCGACAATAATTTTTTAGACATTTTTCTTTAATGAGAGAATTTTTAAAGATTTTTTTTTAATTTTGTTTATGTAATTCAGTTCTCATTATCTTATTTATTTATGATTAAATTTTAATAATTTTAATAATTTATTAATAATTAAAATAATTTTGTCTCACAATATAAGTTATTTATCATGAATTTAAAATATAATTTAAATACTTAAAATATGTATTTATATAAATTTTAAATATAATTTATGTATTCAAATATAATATTTATTTGTATATGTAATTTATTATAAATATTAGATATATATAATATATATTTAGCCTATACAATAACAAACTAAAATACTAGTTATCTTCAAAACTTGATATATTATTATACATAATTGAGTCCCATTTAATACTACTTGTTTCTATTAGTATTTTCTTTTCTAGAATTTATTTGTATTTTTATACTTTTTTTCTCTTTAAATTTTCACCAAGCAATATGAGAGAACAATTTAAATTACAATTTTTTTCCTCTAAACTTACTTAGGTCCATGTAAATAAATATACAAAACATGCCCATACAAATGCAATTAAAGGTTTATTTGCTTTTATAAGAGAGAAAAAAATGGAATCATCTTATTCATAAATTAAAATTAACTTATCATAAGATTTAATTTTTTAAAAAAATCAATATAAAATAACTTTTACATAGTCTATAAATATGTTTATCTCATTTTACATTTCTCCTACAATAGTTTTTCTTTACGACAACACCTTAAAATATAAAACCTATTTTTCTTTTATTATAAGTATTTCTAGATAAATTTATTTGAACATATCCTAAATCAAAGAAAAATTTTCAGTGACCCAATTATAGTGCTATGTCCCCGATACAGAACCTTCCTTCTATGCATAAAGTTCATGGAAGTGGGAATTATGTTAATAAATAAACATTACAAATATCATCAAAAAAAAAAAAAACATTGCAAATCAAGGGATATCCACTTCAAGCAAATTAAGCTATAGCCTAGCTCAATATAAATTCTCTAAATAAGTCTAACAAGTCTAAATTATCCCATTAGAACTTAACTTGCATAAACGTTCCTTATCTTTAGTTAGGGTTGAACATATTCAAATCAGGTCATTTCATCAACTTGCAAATATGATTACATTTATTAATGTTTTAATTACATTTCATAATTCCTTTTATTTTTTATTAGAAAATAATAATTTAAAAGGTGTTTGAAAATAATTAGAACTTATACATCCTTTTATACATGTAAAATTAAAAAAAAATTATTAATATGCTTCATTCTATAAATTAAGTTATAAGGCCTTAAATAACTTTGATCTCTTATCATACGGACTTACGGACTTATGCTGAAAATAGATTAGATATTTGTAATTTTATTAAAAATTCCCAAATAAAAAAAGTTAGCAATTAGTTCTAAATAGGTATGAAAGTCAGATATTATCTTAATCTAAATTTTTTATATAAAATAAAATAAAATTAAGCCACTCTGGCTGAACCAAGTCAAGCAAAGGGAATTGAGTTTTGCCAACCTCTTGTCATGTCACATCAATTATCGATGAATTTGAGGAAACTATGCAACACCCAATGGAGATGCAAAATGCAACAACCTTTTGCCATGTGATACCAAAGCTTTGTTTTCATTTCTTTTTTAGTGACAGTTTTGTGAACAAAAATAATGTATTCTTCAACTGTTCAATCATCACGACCCACATGGCCAACAAGGGAGAATAATTTAATGACATTAGTTAGTCGACATCAAAATCATCATCAATGTTCAAATTATGTATAATATTAATATTAATATTAATATATACACACAATTGGAAGAATCGGATAATCCAGGTAACAAAAGTCTCTAAACCAGCTCAACAGTCATCACCCTCACCATTTTGTTAAATTATCCACACATTGGAAATACCTAAACAACAAATAAACTACTAAATAAATCACTCAAAATCTTTTCAGAAATAATTAAACAGAACTAATAACTTATAAAAGCTAAACATGTAATGACAATTAAGGTTCCCCAACAAATTATTCTTCACATTGTTAATTCATGAATGATATCAGATTAAATTTACAATAAATAAATTTTATTCGATTCATGTAGATAAACAAAAAAGGAATTATGAAAAGAATGTCTCCATACATTAATCATTTTATGAAATGAAAAAACATAACATTTATTTTAGTATAAAGAAAGAAAACATTCAATTGAAACCAAGTATAACAATATCAGGCTAGGACGAAGTATATTCAAAGTTCAAATTCGATTATTACTTTAAGAAAAGGTAATAAAAATATTATTTAAAAAAAAAAAAGGAAAAGTGACTTTAAAAAACTGAAATAAGAGGAATGGGCCTGCAAACTGTTGGCTACAGCTGTATGGCACCGAGAAGCCCAATAAAGACACCCTGTCCAGCAATCAAACGGGCAGAGCGGCTGACCGGAAATCTCATAAAGATATATCAGCCAATAATTTTTTACTTAAGTTTAAGCTATTATATATATATATATATAAGATTAAATTATATTTTTTTTTCTTTATCTTTTTAAAGATTTAATTTAATTTTAGTATTTTTAAATGATGTAGTTTGGTTCTTTAATTTTTAAAAAATGTTTAATATTATTTTTTTATTTAAATTAATACCAACAACGTTAAAGAAATTAAACAAAAAAAACAATATTAAATACTTTTAAATAATTTGATAATCAAATTAAACGTTTTAAAAATAATAAGATTAAATTGAATATTTTAAAAATAGTGAAATTAAATTAAATGCAAGCTAAACATTCATTAATTTCCACATACAATCATAGAACGCATCACTAAATATCACATAAGATTATCTCCTAAAATTAGGAAACACTATAAATCACTTATATACAAAGCATCAAGTATATATATAAAAAAAAACTAATATAATTCTTAACAAAAAAGTCTCCTCTAACTTGAGCGTCAAAGACCCTTTATAAGTGGCTTCGCTGTGGTGAATATTGGAGCAACAAGGATGTCATCCCATTGAAAGAACACTTGTAAATTCTAGTAAGATAAAAATAACTAATAATTAAGATAAAAACTCAATTATAAACACTCTTTTACAAGATTATTACTAATATCCCTTACATCCACTATCACCACCACCATTATCACTATCACTATTGAGTTGTCACTAATGCCACCACCATCATTGTTATGGATGGAGGCAATGGTGATAGTGACAATGACGATGATGACATCGACAACAATAATGGTAGTGGTACTAGTAGTTATGCTGCCACCCCCATCACCATGACCATCCCCACCACCATGATTGTTGTTGTCAAGTTTACAAATTTTTTAAAAATTTAAAAATCTTTTAGTATTCGTTGATCCAACAAGTACTGCAGTTAGTCCTCAAATCTCAAGATCTCGAATTTAAATCTTAAGTTTAATAAAAATAAAAAAAGTAATATTAAAAAGTTTAGCCTTAGTACAATCAATCTCCCTCTTATAAAAATAAAATACTAATTTATTTTTTTTAATATATAATCAATGTCCCAAAGAGACTAATTTCTAACAAAAACCTTAAACAAATACTTCTCTCAATACCATATTAAAAAACACACACACAAATTTCATTATAACTTTTTCTTCTTGTCCTAATAATAAATGCCCCATGCTAACATAATAAATTGAGACATATTTAAAAAAAGCTGAGGCAACCTATATCCTTTGTTTGAGGTAAGCCACAAGGCAGCCTCGAAATCCTCGAAATAAAAAAAATGTTGGGGCAGCCTGCCCGTTACAAAACCAATAATCCCTACACATTTGTTGTCTTCCTCTTTCATCAACTATATAAAATACCCTACACCCATCACTTTCTTTTCACCCACTGCTACCTCTTCCTTTGCCTCCTTAGTCCTCTTCTAAGCTTTCTAAGAAAAAAACAAGTTCATTCTCAGAAACAATGGAGGCAATGAAGATGAAGCTTTTCTTAGTTGTGATGGCCATGTTGATGATGGCAGCTTCAGCTGCAGAGTCACCGGCTCCAAGTCCCACATCGGATGCTACAGCTCTGATGGTGCCAACAGCGGTTGCTTCACTCGTTGCTCTTGCTTTTGGGTTTCTCTTCTGAGATGAAGCAACTAATTGTATGGGATAATTAAGGTTATGTTTCTCATCGTACGTGTTTTCTACATTACTATGATTCACCATTTCTTATTCTTCTTTGACACATTCATTCCCCAATGTACTTTTTATATGTGATGTTTATATGATGAGTATTGAATTTGATCGTGTAATATTATCGTGATTTATTTGGTTATTTCTTGAATTATTCACGATAACTCTCCTTCTTTTTGGTTACATAATGTTGAGTATATCCTCTTCTTGTTCTTTATGACGTTTTTAAGAGGTTTATTTCAATTTATTTGCGATCTTCGAAAACTTTTCACCCGGAAGAAAATTTAGATGTTGAGGAAATTACGTGATCTTGCATTTGGAAATTAAAAACTATTCCAGAAAAGAAAAAAATGTTTAAATTGACTCGAGAAGAAATATTATTTATTGTAATTTGTTTGGTTTTTCGGTTCATTTTTTTATCCTATTTTTTAACATTATTCTTGCTTGTTCTTGGGTTAATTAATATCAAGTTTCCGTAATGATTTTAAACTTTAATTCTTTGCATAACTCAAATGTACAAAATATCATGTGGCAAATACTATAGACTGTTATAATTTTTGTCTGCGGTTTTTGGACTTTTGGTGCTCATGAACTAAATTTACCTTTCAAAAAAACTAAGTCTCGAGCTAATTGTTACTTTTAAATTAACCTTTTTCTTTGGTTATACAAATAATTAAAATTTATCTTAACTATAAAATAGATTATGTTGAAAAAAAATATCTATCATGTTATGTATTCATTATTCTCTACATAGATTAATTACTATTTTCTAAATATAGTTAATACTAATACCATCATTATTAAGAAGAAAAAAAAAACAAAGAGTCTCAAGCTAATGGTTAAATTTAAATTTCAAATTTCATAATCTTATTTCAAATATTTTTGTAACTTTTCTATTTTTTTTTTTTTACCAAGTTTCGAATTCAAACCACATAAATGACAAGCTCACTGTGGAGACAGTGATAATGTGGACAAGAACAATAATTGATGAGCGATGATGATAATAAATAGGTCTTATAAAAAGATGAAAAGAATCCAATGATTTTTAACTGAATCCCAAAACTATTTGTTTTTGCATTTTAAAAATCAAGCCAAAAGTATTTGGAATCTGAATATAAAAAGAAAAAACAGTTGAACTCTATTTTAGTTAAACATATTTCATTTTGTAATTTAGATTTACAAACCCAAAATTAGAAACTTTAAACCACTTCAAACATGTACCAAGTGTTAATTATGCTACTAACTTTTTTTTTGGGTACAGCACTAACTTTAATTTTAAATGCATCCAATATGAATTTCAAGAAAATATTATGTTTCATCAAATGTTTATATTTTATTTAGTATTTGTGCTTCAAGAAAATAAAGTAAGTACATATCAAGTAAACGTCACGATCTTATAGCATTCATCTTGTTATTCTAAAAACTTCATATTTATTTAATTGAAATAATAACACAACAAACGAAATGTCATCTTGTTATTCTAAAAACTTCATTATATTTATTTAATTGAAATAATAACACAACAAACGAAATGTTTTACATATTAAATAAAAGACTTATTAAATGTAACTCAGTAAGATTAATATGTAATTGACTTCTAAGTTCTAAGACATGCATTAATAAATTTGATGGACGTCTATGTAATGTTATTATAATCATACTAGACTTTTTAGTTAGATGGCTTTATCAGGAAAAAAAAAAAAAGGATCGATTTGGTTATGTTATCGAACAAATTAATGTGTATTTTTTTTAACATACACGACTAAGGATAAAAGTAGAAGAAATTACAATCAGATAAATGAGCTCTCGTGGCATCAACTATATATGATCAAGTGAAGCATTCCGATAGGGGTACCTACAATAACTAACACTTATCTCTTAAGATGGAGACCATAAACTCGATTATTTTAATATAGAAGTTGCGTTAGCCCAATGCTTTTACCACAAGTTCTAACACTTCCACACAAAACTTCTCATGACTTCCAACATCGATTGTGATGTCAATTTTCTAATATGCTTAGTACATGTTTAGAGATACATATATTACGTGTGTATTTCAAAAAGAAATCACATATTAGTCCAAATGACCCAGAAGTAACCTTTTGTTACTTTTAGTAGACTGTTAGGGTTACTCGAGAGTTATATCACTTGGAAAAAATAATTTGTCACTCGAAAGAGTTAATTAGGAAGCACTTATCAAGAAGGAACATCTGAAACTATAAACATGCATACTCGAGGGTTGCTCCAAAAAGCGAAAGGAAGTTACTGGAGGTTTGTGACGGTTAAGGCACACCAGGGTGGTTATTAGAGATTGAATCGAGAAAATAAAAACGTGGGACGAACGGTTACGAGAAGTTACATCTTAAGCCACGTAATGAGCATAGTGGATAGTGGTTATCCTCCAATAATGCACATGAACAAAATCAACCGCCTTCGATCGGCTCTATAAATATGAAAAGCGTAGTGATTTACAAAGGTCGAAAATTTCATAGTTGCACTCTTGAAAGCACTCTCTGCCTGCGAATATGGCTTCTGTGCATGCAATTGCTGGGTATTGATTTCTTGACCACATTCCTTTTCTTTTTCTTTTTCTAGGATTAGTGTAGTTTCATTTAATTTCGTAGTTCATAGGTTCTCTAATTCTAATATTGTAACTTGATCATTATGCAAACTAGACAATGATTTGTATTACCAATGTATTTATTGTTCATTTTGTTCAATTAAGTATCTACATGCATGCAAATTATTGTTTGATCATCATTCACGAAAATATGGAAACAAACGTTTATTAATCAGTTCTCTCTCATCTAATTCCATTCTTAAGCGAGTTCAACAAATTTAATGTAAAATACCTAAATTGAAACGGTCTCGTGCTAGTTTAAACAAAAAGAACTCAAACAACTTCCACCACAAACAAATTGGAACGCCCGGTGGGACACGTTTAAATTGAAAACATAATTGAACTAGTTTTAGGTATGCATGTTTCGCATGTTTTATGAGACTTAGGAGTGGAAGAACCATGTCTATGTCTAATAATAGGAGAGAAATGAACAATGACACTCAAGTAGATGTAGAGCATGTAAATCCAAACCCAGATAATGTAACTATTGTGGGGCAACATCACCCCCTGTTGTGCTCGAAAATGTGGCTAGGTAAACGAATGTATCCCAAGATTTTGTGAATACCACTAGAGAATATCCATTTCTCAAAATTTGTTTGCTCCTTTTAAGTTCCTTGCAGCTGCAGCAACTCCCCAAGTGTTTCACTCCTCTCTTAGGAATAACCTTGATGTTGGTTATTCCTAGGTGTTTAAGCTTCCAAAGCCCTCCTCCAATGGAGAAACAAGCTTCCTAGGCCACCACAAAATCTTCCAATGTTGGCTTCCTTTGTAGCTTGGCCTTCCACACCTTCAAGAAGCACTCAACACACCTTAAGTT